CACAGCAGGCCAAGCAGCATCATAAGAGCAGGAAGGCTTATCAGAGATAGTAGGAACTGCAGATGCTGGAGAATCTGAGATAACAAGGTGTAGAGCTGGATGAACACAGATGCTGCTTGGCCTGCTGTGTTCATCCAGCTCTACACCTTGTTATCTCATCCTCTCTCCCACCTATCCGTTCTTCCCACCTCACTGACCAATCCCCACCACTGCCTACCTGCACTCACCTATCACCATCCCACCTACCTTCCCCAGCCCCACCTCTCCTCTATTTATTTCGGAGCTCCCTTCCCCCTCCCCATTTCTGAAGAAGGGTCCTGGCCCGAAACATCAACTTTCCTGCTCCCCTGATCTTGTCTCACCTGCTGTGTTCATCCGGCTCCACACTGTGTTATCTCTGACCAGAGCCTTATACAGCCTCAGCTGTACATCTCTGTTCTTGTATTCTAGCCCTCTGGAAATAAATGCTAACATTGTATTTGCCTTCTTAACCGACAACTGAGCCTGCATGTTAACCTTAAAAGAATCCTGAACTAGATCTTCCAAATCCCTTTGTGCTTTAAATTTCTGAAGCCTTTCCCCATTTAGAGAATAGTCTATGCCTCAGTTCTTCCTACCGAAGTGTAAAACCTTTGTATTCTGTGTGTCACTTCTTTACCCACTCTCCCAGCCTGTCCAAGTCCTTCTGCAGCCTCCCTGCTTCCTCAACACTACCTGGCCCTCCACCTAGTTTTGTGTCATCTGCAAACTTAGCAACAATGCCCTCAGTTTCTTTGTTCAGATCATTAATGTATAAGGTGAATAGCTGTGGTCCCACCACTGACCCCTCTGGAATTCCACTAATCACCAGCTGTCATCCCGAAAAAGATCCCTTTATCCCTGTTCTCTGCCTTCTGCCAGTCAGCCAATCCTCTACCCATGCCAGGGCCTTGCCCCTAACACCATGGGCACTTATCCCAGCCCCGGGATTCAGATATCACCCACTGTGAACTCTGGGATTGCGATATTAACTTGCTCCCAGTCCCAGGATCAGGATATCAGACACTCCCAATATCGAGATCAAGATATCAACCACTCCCAACACCAGGAGTGGGATATCAACCCAGTCCTGGGATTGAGATATTGACACATATTTAATCTTGAATATAAACCAACCCCCAGCACTGGGGTTGTGGTATCAACCCAGTCTCAGGAGCAGGATATTATCCCACTTTGGGATTGGGATATCAACCCTCTCACAACATTGGAATCAGGAAATTAACACACTCCCAGCCCCTGTGATTGGGATATCAACCATCTCCAAACACCAGAGATTAGGATATCAACCAACCCCAGCCCCAGGATTGCAATATCAACCCTCTCACTGGGATATTAATACACATCCAGCCTCAGAATCGGGATATCAAATTCCGGAATAACTGGATTGAGATATCACACATTCCTGACCCTGAAATTGGGTTTTCTCCCACTCTGAATCCTGGGATTGGGATTTCACCTTTCCCCAGGATTGGGAATTCACGGACTAGAACCCCAGGATTGGGAGATCTTGCACTCCCAGAGAGTTTGCCGAGCTGACAGCAGCTTGGGGTGAGATTGCGTGGTCAGGATGTGGTTGTGTGGACATAGTTGGGAGCTGTCCCCATTGTGCCACGTTTGGCAGGGGGCCTGACCCAACATGGTCAGATTGGGCTGAGTTGCCCAGTGCTGGTACAGGAAGCCCTCTATTAGTGGGGACCTCCTCAGAGATTGCTGAACACCCGAATTGCTCTCTTACCTCACTAGACAATCCAAGGTCACTCCCAAGCCGCTTGTTCACTTTGGCACATTTCCGCAGGCTGACCTGGGCCTCTTTAGTTTTGCCATTAGCCAGGAGCCACCTGGCAGATTCTGGGATCCACCTATGTAACAGGATCAATGTGGAAGTGAGTGCAGAAAGTGCATTTATATCACTGGGTAACATCCTATCCCTATGATTGCCCTTCATTCCTTCTGACCTCAGTCCCATGTAAATCCCTTATTGCTGCTGCAGTGTAAGTTTCTGGAAGCCTGTATGAATGTAACTCCTGTTTATTGAATGCCCATACAGCACAGAAAGAGGACATTCTGCTTCCCACACCTCTGCTGGCTCTTTGAGACAGCTCTCAGATGAGTCCCGGTCCTCGAGCCCTTTCCCATTGCCCAACAATTGCATCGTTTTCACGTATTGGTGGAATTCTGTTTTGAAAGCTCCAGCACCTTTTCAGGCAGTGTATTTGAGAAAAATGCTTTGTCGAGTGTCCTCAGGTTCTGTTGTCAACTGGAATAAATCGATGTACTTTGTTACCAGTCCTTCCACTGAAACAGACCACTTGCTGACATGGAACAGCTTGTCTAATCGCCTCCCAACATCCTCTGTTCTAAGGACAACAAAACCTAATAGAATTATATAGAACGGATAGCAGAGAATCAGGCCATTCAGCCCAACCAGTCAATGCAGGGATTTGTGCTGAACTCATTGCCTCCCAGCTTCCCTCATCTGAAGCTACCTTTGTAATCCTCCAGCTCCATCCCCCTCCTACATTTCTCTAGCTTTCCCTTAATTACACTCCCATTATTTGGCTGAACCACTCCTCCCCATGGGAGCGAGGCCCACATGCTTCCCATTCTCTGGGGAAAGACATTTCGGAATTCCCGATTGGAATCCTTGGGGACGATCTTATATTGACGACCTCAAGTTCTGCTCTTCCCCACCAGAGGGTATGTTCTCTCCACGTCACTTTGACCAGAGCTTTGAGAATTTTAAAGAGCTCCATTAGGTCACTCCTCAGCCTTCTCTCGTTTTAGAGTGAATAGCCGCAGCCTGTCAATCCTTTCCATGTGTGAAAACCCACCCACTTCTGATACCATCCTCACCACCCTGCCTTGCTCCCTAAATATACTTTTCATCACATGCCAATAAGAACAGCATGTACTTTGACATGCTTTCTAACCAACCTTACCACGTTCAATTCTATCCTTTTGGCTATCATCCCAAGTATTAGTTTGTGGTTGTAAAGACTTTGCTAAACTGCCTCACAGCATTAAATGATTTGTGTATTACTGCTCACCTGACAACTTTGGTCTTCCACTATGTTTAGATTCATGTTTTCTAAGTAATAAGTGACTCTTGTGTAGTCCAAACCTCCAGTAAATTAAACACAGGCATATGGGGATAATTCACAGAACAGAATGGGAAATATTCAAACTGTGCTGCATTTTTAAAAGTTTATTCATTTTGTGGGACATGGGCATTGCTGGCTGGGCCCAGCATTTATTGCCCATTCCTAGTTGCCCCCTTGAGAAGGTGGGGGTGAGCTGTCTTCTTGAACTGCTGCAGTCCTCCTGCTGTGGGTTGACCCACAATGTCCCTCAGGGAGGGAATTCCAGGATTTTGACCCAGTGACAGTGAAGGAACGGCGATATATTTCCAAGTCAGGATGGTGAGTGGCTTGGAGGGGAACTTGAAGATGGTGGTGTATCCGTATACCTGCTGCCCTTGTCCTTCTAGATGGAAGTGGTCGTGGGTTTGGAAAGTGCTGTCTGAGGATCTTTGGTGAGTTTCTGCAGTGCATCTTGTAGATAGTACACACTGCTGCTACTGAGCGTCGGTGGTGGAGGGAGTGGATGTTTATGGATGTGGTGCCAATCAAGCGGGGGCTGCTTTGTCCTGGAAAGTATCAAGTTTCTTGAGTGTTGTTGGGGCTGCACTCATCCAAGCAAGTGGGGAGTATTCCATCACACTCCTGCCTTGTGTGCCTTGTAAATGGTGGACAGGCTTTAGGAAGTCAGGACATGAGTTACCAGCCACAGTATTTCCAGCTTCTGGCCTGCCCTTGTAGCGATAGTATTTATGTGGTGAGCCCAGTTGAGTTTCAGGTCAATGGTAACCCCCAGGATTTTGATGATGGGGGATTCAGTGATGGTAACACCATTGAATGTCAAGGGGCGGTGGTTAGATTGTCTCTTATTGGTGATGGTCGTAGCCTGGCATTTGTGTGGCATGAATGTCACTTGCCACTTGTCAGCCCAAACCTGGATATTGTCCAGATCTTGTTGCATGTGAACATGGACTGCTTCAGTATCTGAGGAGTCATGAATGGTGCTGAACATTGTGTAATCATCGGCGAACATCCCCACTTCTAACCTTATGGATGGAGAGGAAGGTCATTGATGAAGCAGCTGAATTTTGACCCAGAACTGAATTACTCCAGCCTCAGTCATTGAGCTCCAGGATGCAGATGATGCTTGTGAGCAGAAACTGAGCTCCAGGCCATTGTCAAATTCTTCTCCAAAGTATACAACCAAATTCTCCTTTCACAGAGCACCCAAGAATAAAACTTTTCAAGATCATGGCAGGAGCCATGATTAAGGAAAACATAGATGATGGATTTAATCTTTACCTTCAATGTGCCAACTTAGCCTGCAGTCAACTGAGGAAAAGAGTATTTTGTAAAGATCAGACTTTTCTAGTTTCTTATTTTTTGGATTGTGGACCAAAACAGAAAATCAGTGCTCCTTCCATTGACTCCATCTATACTTTCTGCTGCCTCAGGAAAGCAGCCAGCATAATCAAATGCCCTGGTTATACTCTCTTCCACTCTCTTCCATCGGGCAGAAGATATAAAAGTTTGAAAATATGGACCCAACTGTTTTAAGAACAGTTTCTTCCCTGCCATTACCAGACTTATGAAGGGATCTCTCATATATTAGAGTTCATTTTTCTCTGCGCCTTCTCTGTGGCTGTAACACCATATTATGCATTCTGTTCTAATACTCTGATGTACTTACATAAGGTATGATTTGTCTGGTTGGCATGCAAAACAATACTTTTCACTGTATCTTGGTAACAATAATAAATCAAATCAAAATCAAAATGGGAAAAGGATACTGCCTTAAACTGAGGAAACTGAGGAAGGAGCTGCTGCAGTTTTAAAGTGAGTTACTGGAACTCATTGTGAGCTGTGTTTACACTGTTACCATGTTCAATGAGGGATGGTGGATGACAGGATTCTGCAGCACTGTGGGGCAGCTTTGATGAGAGACAGCCTGTTGGTCAGGTTTTCAACCAGGACCAGTTGTGGATACTGGGAGTGCTCAGAATTATAACAATTTTCTGATTGGCTGCTGGGTAGAAGAACAGCCTGTGTGTAAATATTACAATGACAGAACACCTCCATTTTCTAAAAAGCCAGCATCCTTTTTCTCGTTCCAGAGAAGTAACAAAGGATTGGAGTCTCACTCACCATTCGCCTATAAACAGCTATCTCTAACCAGAGACTGAACAATTTGTTTGCTAAATTCCCTGCACCTGCAATAAAGGACCACTCTATCCCTGATATCTCCTACCTTATGTTGGTGAGTACTGATAGTTCAGCCTGTCTGTTCAGCCCATCAATATCATCTTGTAGTCTAAGCCTATCCTCCTCACTATGACCACACTCACCTGCTACATTCCTATCTAGATCATTAATGAACACAATAAACAGCAAAACACTCAGCACTGAACCCTGTGGCACACCATTGGATGCAGGCTTTCAATTACAAAAACACCTTTTGACCATTAGCCTCTGCCTGCTTCCTGCCACTCAGCCAATTTGGATCCAATTTGACTAATTGCCCTGGATGGATGCCCCTTACATTTGCTCTCACCTGTTATTTCTAATCTCTCTGTATGTGCTTCCATTTCTTACCATGTTTCTTCATTAATAAACTCAGTCTCGTTAATTCAAGAAAGTCTGGTTAACTTCCTTTTAAGTCATTAGTTCATTTGGGTCTGGGGAAAGGTATCCATGAGGAAATGGGACCTTTTAAATTAACCCTGTTGTAACGAACTAGGGGCTGGGTTATCAAAGAAGGGGAGCCAGTTCATCCCTCCTCACTCAGGATTTTAACAGTTTGGGGTATTGTGACTGGAGCTATAACAAACCAGAAAACCTGGTTTTGGGACTGTTTGTAACAACTGTCCATTGATTAGTTCCCCAGGCCTCTCCCCACTCAGCTGTAGCTCTCTTTCACAGCCCTCATATACTGATCAGGTGTAAGGCAAATTAAACGTAAGAAATAGTAACAGGAGCAGGCTATTCCGCCCCTCGAGCTTGCTCCACCATTCAATAGGATAATGTCTGATCCGACATTCTTCACCCCGCATTCCTGCCCTTTCCCCATAACCCTTGTTTCCCCGATTGATCAAGAATCTATCTCAGCCCTAAATATACATAAAGACTCTGCCCCCCACAGCTGTCTATGGTAAGGAGTTCCAAAGACTCACAAGCCTCTGAGAGAAGAAATTTCTCCTCATCTCACCCTTTACTCCGAGACTAGGGGAGCCGATGGCCTGGTTGTATTATTGATGGGCTGATAATCCAGAGACTCAGGTAATGTTCTGGGTACCTGGGTTTAAATCCTGCCACGGTAGATGATGGAATTTGAATTTGATTAAAAACCTGAAATAAAAGTCTAATGATGACCATGACACCATTGTCGATTGTCAGGGGAACAGTTGCATCTGGTTCACTAATGGTCTGGCCTACATGTGACTCCAGATCCATAGCAATATGGTTGACCCTCAACTGCCCTCTGGGCAATTAGGGATGGGCGATGAATGTCTAGCCAGTGATGCCCACACCATGTGAATGAACTAAAAGAAAATGCCCTCTGGTTGTAAACTCCCCCATGAGTGAAAACATCCTCTCAGCATTTAACCTGCTCCTCAAGAATCTGAGATGTTTCAATGAGATCACCTCTCATCCTTCTAAACTCCAGTGAGTACAGTCCCAAACTGTTCAGCCTTTGCTCATAAGTCAAGAGGAAGAAGGAAGTTTACTTAAAGTTGAGGAAGCAAGGACCGCACAGGGCTCTAGAGGGCTACAGGGTAGCCAGG